TTAGAATTAAGATGGCTAGAGTAAATATATATGCACATGTAATTATTTTTTTCTCTCTCTACATTATTAATATCCTATACAATAATTTTATTTTTTATTCTTAAATAAAAACTGTTAAAAAATTTTAAAATTGTCATAGGTATTCTAATAATAAAATCAAATTGTAAATAAAATTATATTTCTGAAATTATGTTTATATTAAAATAGAAGTAGTATATATTATTAGGAAGTCGCAAAGTTTAATATTTATGGGTAATTGATAAATTATTAATTATCACAAATATACTCATTATTTCATTTTTTTTCTTAAGACAGTAATTTATATGGTGGTTCGGCAAACAACTCGTTAATTTATCCTTCTAAATCTATGTATATTTATTGATTGATATTTCATTATACTATTTTGTATGTTGTGAATATTATGTAGCAGACATTTATATTATATTTTAGGGTTAATTGCATTTAAAATTCTAACCTTTTGTGTAATGACAAATAAAACTCATTTTTTTTTTTCAATTTTGGTAAAAAATACCAAACCTTTAATAAGTATTGCAATTATGTCTCACCCATCGGACCGCTGCCAACCGCCTCCGCCAACTGCCACCCGCCGCCGGGCAACTTTGTCGGATATTGAAAATTTTTACATGATCTTGTAGCTCTCCTCCGTGCCGACAACATATCCGAGTTTCACGAAAAAATTCCGACGATAATGCTTCCAATTTTTCGGTCAAAATCGTAGATCTTCAAATTTCCTTCGGCGTTCTTTCGCAAAAATTTCCGATGACTCGCTTTGACCCATGTGAATCCGAAGGTACCGTTGAACCCCTCTCGCAAAGCCGCATCTAGTGACGTCCACCTTCGCCGAAACTGGTGACTTTTTCCGACAACGACTTTTCCAATCATTTTATTCAAGGTTTGGTATGGCCGAAAACTGATTTTAAAACACAATTGCAGTACTTATTAAAGGTTTGGTATTTTTTTTTGCCAAATTGAAAAAATTTGAGTTTATTTGCAATTCCACAAAAAGTTAGGATTTTAAATGCAATTAACCCTTTATTTTATGATATGCTCTTAAAAAATTGCTATATTCCAACGAAAAACTCAATGGTAATATCTTCCAATAGAAATATCAACATATTTTCCAATGGTATAGCTTACATTGAAATGAATCCAACAAAAATATTCCATTAGAATTTTAGAAGGAATTTGGCGGTTCCAACGACTATTTTCTAGATTTATTACGGTATGAATTTCTATTGAATATGCAATTTTTCGTTAAAATTTGTATTTTTCACTAATGTTTCAGAGTTGGAGTTGTCAAAATTTAATAGAATACTCATTCCAACGAAATATTTTGCTGGAATTTCTGTTATAATCTATTGAAAAATTTTAACAGCAATAAGAGTATTTAAAATATCAATTAAAATTGTGATAAGAATTCTATAGGAATATATTTTCGCTGATATTTCATCATTTCTTGTACTGTTAGTCTCATTCATTATTTTTAAATCAGTATTGATTGATATAAGCTTAAGTTTTATTATGCAATTATAATAGTTATATATTATTTTATATGTACAATATGTCATATATTAGATATCAAAAAAATTTCAATACAATACTTTGTATGTAAACATGCAACATAGAAAAATTAAACTATTAAGTTTTATATAAAAAAGCGATACTGTTATTTAATAAGAAGACAAAAATAAAAAAGAAGAAATATGTATTTCAAATATAAAGTCATAAACCTTCGATGACCCCCAGACAAATAACAATCCTCCATGAACAACTCATTCTCTGAAAATCCCCCGACTGTTTTCCCTCATCTCGAAACTCCCGACCACAAACGGATGGTCCAAAAGGCAGTGGGTTTGTACCCTATCCGACGGATCCTTCTCCAAACAGCACATGAGAAAGTCGACCCCCTCATCCTACACACACTTCTGAATCCTCAAATATTCCCAATCTCCTCCTATCCTCCGCAGAATCTCCTCCTCCTTTCCGGGCTTCCACAACGGCCGCCCCGTTAGCATCTCCCCCACCACGCAACCCTCCGCCCACACGTCCCATGCCGCCTCCTGCAACCCTTTGGTAATCGCCTTCGGGGGCAGGTACATGAGCGTGCCCTGCCACTTTCCGGGCCCTACCGTCTCCCTCTTGGCCAGCCCGAAATCACTGATTTTGACCGTGAAGCTGTTTTCGCCGTCGGGCACGAGCAATATGTTGTCGGGCTTGATGTCACAGTGGACATAGGCGTGGGAGTGGATGTGGTCAAGGCCCACCAGGATGGATCGAGTGTGGGACCTCATCTCGGGCTCGGGGAGGCCGCCGCTCGAACTTCGGTCGGAGAGAGTCCCGCCGGTAGCTAATTCGAGCATCAGGTTGTAGAACAGGGCGCTGCCATCGCCCCCGACGGTGGTTTCCTCGCCGAGGCACTGGATCAAGTTCGGACAGCCGTTGAGATTGGACATGATTTCCTTCTCGGACCGGAGCGTGTGGGAGAATTGGACCGGGGCGAACTTGACGGCCATCTCCGGCGGTGGAAATGAGTCGGGGTTTCTCGACGTGGCCATGAACGTGCCGAAGCTCCCTTTGCCCAACATCTGGCCTCTGATCCATCCGACGCCGTCTCCGAACTCGATCGCATCGCCTTTGACGGCATAGTCTTTTATTCCGCCATGATCTTTGGTGTACAAAATAAAGAAAAAAGGAAATAAACAAAAAGAGAGTAATGACTAAGAGAAAACAAAGTAAAAAAATGTACTATTACATGCCCCTCACGCCCTAATAAAAAAATGTACTATTAAGGCGTGAGGGGCGTGTCTATACTCTATAGACACGCCCTAATAGTACATTTTTTTACTCTGTTTTTTTCTTAGTCATTACTCTCCCTTTTTGTTTATTTCCTTTTTTTTTATTTTGTACACCGATGATCATGGCAGAGATGAAAGACTGCGTCGTCAAAGGCGACACGATCGACTTCGGAGACGATGTCAGATGGATTCTCTGCTCGTCAGATGGATCAGAGGCCAAATGTTGGGCAAAGGGAGCTTCGACCGCGTGTTCATTGCCACGTCAAGAAACCCCGGCTCATTTCCACTGCCGTAGACGGCCGCCAAGTCCGCCCCGGTCAAATTCTTCGACACGCTCCGGTCCGAGAGGAAAATCATGTCCAATCTCAAGGGCTGTCTGAACTTGATCCAGTGCCTCGGCGAGGAAACCACCGTCAGGGGTGACGGTCGCGCCCTGTTCTACAACCTGATGCTCGAATTCACTGTCGGCGGGACTCTCTCCGATTGAATCTGAAGTTCGGGCGGCGGGCTCCCCGAGCCCGAGGTGAGGTCCCACACTCGATCCATCCTGATGGGCCTTGACCACATCCACTCCCACGGCTATGTCCATTGTGAGATCAAGCCCGACACATACTGCTCGTGTCCGACGACGAAAGCAGCTTCACGGCCAAAATCAACGATTTCGGGCTGGCAAGAGGGAGACGACAGGGCCCGAAAAGTGGCAGGGCACGCCCATGTACCTGCCCCCGAAGGCGGTTACCGAAGGGTTGCAGGAAGCGACATGGGACGTGTGGGCGGTGGATTGCGTGGTGGGGGATATGCTAACGGGGCGACCGTTGTGGAAGCCCGGAAAGAAGAAGGAGGTTCTGAGGAGGATTGGAGGAGATTGGGACTATTTGAGGATTCGAAAGTTTATGTCGGATGAGGCGGTCGACTTTCTCATGTGCTGTTTGGAGAAGGATCCGTCGGATAGGGTACAAACCCACTGCCTTCTAGACCATCCGTTTGTGGTCGAGAGTTTCGAGATGGGGGATTGGGGGAAAACGGTCGGGGAATTTTTGGAGAATGAGTTGTTCATGGAAAATTGTTATTCGTTCGGGGGTCGTCGAAGGTTTATGACTTTATATTTGAAATCCATTTTTCTTCTTTTTATTTTTGTCTTCGTATTAAATATCAATATCGTTTTTTTTATATAAAACTTAATAGTTTAATTTTTCTATGTTGCATGTTTACATACAAAGTATTGTATTAATATTTTTTTGATATCTAATATATGTCACCCATATTGTACATATAAAATAATATGTAACTATTATAATTGTATAATAAAACTTACGATTATAACAATCAATATTGATTTAAAAATAATGAATGAGACTAACAGTACAAGAAATGATGAAATATCAGCGAAAATATATTCCTATAGAATTTTTATAACAATTTTAGTTGATATTCTAAATACTCTATTGTTGTTAAAATTTTTCAATAGATTATAACGGAAATTCCAGCAAAATGTTCCGTTGGAATTAGTATTCTATTAGATTTTGACAACTTCAACTCTGAAACATTAGTGAAAAATACAAATTTCAACGAAATTTCATATTCAATAGAAATTCATACCTTAATAAATCCCTAGAAAATAGCCGTTGGAACCGTCAAATTCCTTCTAATATTCTAACAGAATAGGAGTTACCACTAGGATCTGCATGGGTTTCAGCACCTGTAATGGACGAGATAATTTCAAAACTCCAGTAATAAGTACCAAAAAAATAAATAAAAATATATTATTGAATGGTGGGAAAGACGATGAGAAAGGAACTAGAGCAAGCCCAACAAGAGCAATTAAAGGCATCCTATACCTGATACAGGTACCAAGAGACATATGCATCGGAGGCAGCATATTTTATTTGTTCCTCTTGATAGAACATCGACTTCCCAATTTCCCAACCTGATTTTAGCTGGCTTGGGAGGAAGCTACTAAAGTCAAAATGCACTAGTTAGAATTTAATGAACTGAGTAGTAGCTCTTGCATTCTCATTCAAACCACATAGATTACCATTTGTTATACTGGATAGTGAATACACATGCCAGACCAAAAAAAAAAAAGCTGTAATGGAGTAGAATTTGAAGGGGATCCAAATGATAGGTGCGTGAAAAATTACTTCTCTAATAAATCGAAAACCATTTTTCCACGCTGCCAATGGATTATATAGAAGGTAGCCCATTGCTATAGAAGTAAAATCAAGACACGAAGTACTTGAATAGCAAAGGGGAAACACCGAAACACATGCATTAAACATTTTCAGATTTTCTGATGTAATAATCAAGAAAAAGATACAATTTTACAAACATGAAAGCCAAGCCGAAGTGCAAACATTCTCAGCACCAGAAACTTCCACCAAGATACCATGCAAATTGCCACCATGGTTAAAGAAATTTATGTATTCTGTATAAAATGTGATTAAGAGAACATATATAATCAAAATTAATGAGAACAATTAAGAAAGCACTATGACTGCAGAACTTATGGGTGGGCAAAAAAACCATATTTCC